GTATTTATCCTTTTTCCTCATATTATGTATATATATATATATGTGTGTGTGTGTGTGTGTGTGTTTTGTTTAATTTCTGCTAATCTATGCGAAATGATTAGGGTTTGATTAATTTTTGGGAGTTTATTGGGCAGTAGCCAGCCGATAATTTTTATAGTAGATTTTTTTTGCAAATATTTTATTAAATATTGAATCAGAATGCAATAATATACGAAAATATTTGCATAAACAGATTAGCGAATCGTTGTAAATCGAGAACCATCCGATCCAGCAATGGTAAATTACACGCTTTTTACACGCGCGCACACACACACACACATGTTTGTATATATGTTTCATTTGTGTTTATGTACGTAATTAGTCGGAACACACTTAGTTTTTTGCGTTGTTTTTACACAACACGAGGCCAAACTGTGAATTAATTACTATTTGATGTTGTTTCTTATTTCGTCGATTTTGGATTTTGTTGTTTGCTTATTTCGTCGATTTTTGATTTTGTTGTCTGCTTATTTCGTTGATTTTCCAGGTTAATGTGACACCAACACAAGTAATATAAATATGCTATTTAATAAGTTTAGAACGAACACACGTTTTCGATATTATTTCTATATATTATTAGTTTGTCGAAAACAGCATGCTATGGTTGTCGATAATTTTTGCAAGTTTGAATATCGATTTCCAGTTTATCATTTTACAATTCAAATGATTGTATATAAATCACAAGTTTATAGTCTCGAAAACGAACCTTAATTAACTATCTAATTATTTACATAATTAATATTGCAGGAAGGTCTTTTCCTTCAGCGCCTCGTCCCGCAGCAAGTCGTAGCCCAGCAGCTAAACCAGGTACTAATTGTCGTCTTTACGAACTATTTAATTGCCACATTATATTCTTCATTTTTTATTTCTGTTTTAATTCGTTATTATGAATTTATGATTCATAATATTATTATATGCACAGCTCGTAAATCGACTCCTCCAGCTCCAGTCCAAACTAACTCCGGCGGATTGTTTGGAGGAAGCCTTCGTCAAACATTAACCGATGGTATGTCGAAGTAATTAGCCAACAATTGTTATTTATTTTTTAAATTTTTATATAGATGATCTGATTTTTGTTTTACCATAATTTTTATTTTAAAAGGATTGGCGTGGGGTTTTTCGAACGCGGTTGCGCATAGAGTTATGGACACACTTTTAGGACCTCGTACAATTAGAGTCGAAGAAGTTGCTGCTGAAGCAGCGGCGAAATCGCCTGCTCTAACGAGCACTGTCGATGCTTGTGGAACGCACTTCAACGCATTCCAGGAAGTAAGTTTCAACTATCATATTTTCGAAACTTCATTTTATTTAATTGAAATAACTTCTTTCGTTCGTCAAATTGTTAATTCGTGATCCCGTGCGTGTATAATGCAACAAATTCGTATATGCTAACCTTTTCAAAACAATTCTAAAAAGCAATTTTAGATGTTTCTCTCTCTTCTAGGCTCTAGACACGATTTGACTGTTATATTGCTTCGTTTTCAAATTCTTCTTTTATAAACTAATCTTTTTCCAAGACCGTTAAACATTCTTTGACTAACAAAATATAAAGAAACATTATTTTCATTTTCGAATTCTTCCGTGACGATCTTTGTGTTAATACGTTGGGGCTTAATTGGGGAAATACAGTTTTTGTCCCTCAAGTTTGCACTAATTTCACATTTGGTCCCTCATATTCCAGTAATTTAACACTTTTGGTCATTTTCGTCAATTTACCGTTAGTCCGTCATGTAAAGCAGTGATGGACATACGCTTGATTCCGTTGTTTTAACGAGAAATTAACATAGAACACTCAAATTGTTGAACTTTTGAAACATAGGTGACCAAATGTGTCTATTGTGAATATGAGAGACCAAATGTGAAATCGGTGCAATCTTGAAAGATGAAAACTGTATTTTTTGCGGGCTTAATTTTAATTTATATTTTTTTATTTTTGGACGCAGTGCTTGAACAGCAACTCGGGTGAGATTAGCAAGTGTCAGTTCTACATGGATTTGTT